TCTCCCTTAACCCCCTCTCGTCTCAACAAAAGTCAAAGTCCACCTACCTCGACAAGTTGGTTGAGAACAGTATTCCGCGATTTGAGAGCCCTCTGTGTGGCAAGTGCCTCCGCCTTCTGGGCAGCCAGTAGTTCTTTGTGCAAATTCTCATTTTGTCGTCGCTTCACAGACTGCATATGTGCATAGAAGACAGAGTCCGGAGTCTAGAGGCAGGGGAAAAAACAATAAAATGTATCAGTGTTCACAAAGATCTAAATCTAACACGACAATAGCGCCTGTACCATATACAATGCAGAATCGCAAACTGACATGCGAGTCAACGCAGTACTTACACTGGGTAAAGCTCTAGTTGACTTCGATTATGTCAGACGTAACGATCTGCGGCAAGAAATCTAGAGAACTCGACTTATTCCTTTCACCAGTGACGGAAGCCTGATAGACTGTTGGCTGCAATTGGGTAGAGGCTATTTGGGTTCGTTTTCGACGAAAATTCAAATGCTTTTCTAACTCAGGCTCACTCTTTTAAATGCGTGGAAAAGGAGTAAACAGGGACCAATCGCATATCACACTGACAGCATGCAAAGACGACTTGAAGAATTCATTCTGCTTCAGAGTGTATCTACCCGATCGAGTTGATCTATTCTCCTGTTTTTTACTTAACTTTAAAGTAGACTGGTCGAATGTAGGTGATTCAAAATATATATCGTGCTGATTTGACGTCGTTTACAGCGGTCCATTTTACGGCCTAGCGATGTATACTTACGTCGGCGGGATCATCAGAAGTTGAAGTTGAAAGTGAAGGCGATTGAGACCCTAGTTCAGCGGGGTTTGACTCAACTTCCTCGGGGATGTCGCCAGCTGAGAGAGGTAGAGCAGTAAGAAAAAGTGATAAACTCACGCGTAAAACGCTAGTACAGAAAAACGATTTTGACGAAACAGATACAAACAACTTCCGAGCGCCAGAAGACTGGTACTGACTGCGATGGCATGCTCCTCGACCGATTCGTTCGAATAAAACTGCTGACAAAATGATAACAAAAGTATGCTACTATATGAGACGGCATCCGGACGCCTTTAGGGGGAAGAAGATAGCGATTTCTGGCGAACCCAGGACTGTGACGATTTGATTAAACAGACAAACTCCTCAAACATGATAAACTTACAAAAATTCCCGACTGGTTCGGATCCAATAAATTGTTCAACTAAGAACATCAGCGGAAACGCGCATAAAGGTATAATAAATTGTTAATCTACTGGTTTTCTTTCGAATCGAATGCTTTTTAGTTTATAAACATGTCTTTAGAAGACAGCTGATTACCTCTACAGCTTCTCTTTTAAGTCTCGGAACCCCATAAAAATGCAAAATAGGGCCGAAGTAAGGCACATGCGCTACCCTTCTTTGTACTGACAGTGTGACGAAATTAAGGCTGTCTTACAAAAGACAAACTGGGGTTGGCTAAGGGTATAAGCATCGACACTTCACGAAACGGACATTTCGAAATTCACAAAACTGACCGCGAACGCGTGGGCGGCATCTGATGGCGCATATAGACGAAGCAATTTCCTTCACCTACACAAAGTGAGTTGGACTGGTGTTAATTAAAATTCGACTTTCACCTAAAAAAAGCTCCCACGAGCCTGCCTTTTAGGCTCCTTTATGAGTCTTTCAGGGATAAAATGGGTTTAATGTTGTACGAAATGCAAATAAAAGTCGCAGTTTAGTTGACCCAATTGTGAAAAAAACTCGCAATCGCCTCAACTAAATCAAGAAATCTGTCAACCCCCCACCCCCTAAACAAAGTCGCAGTGCCAGCTCAAACTAATTTGCGTACGACCAGAGGCATGACTGTCAACCGGTT